GGGCACGCGGACGCTTCTTGGGCTTACGACCAGGCTACGCAGCGGTCGTCACAGGGTTACACCTTCAGCCTTGGTGCCGGCTCTGTTTCGTGGCGGGCTACCCGCTCGTCTTCGGTTCTCGGCTCCAGTTGTGAGGCTGAGATCTACGCCGGGGCTATGGCTGCTCAAGAGCTTCGCTGGCTCACCTACCTGCTGACCGACCTTGGAGAGCCGCCTCGTTCTCCTCCAGTCCTGTACGTAGACAACAAGGCCATGCTGGCCTTGTGTCGAGAGCAGCGACTTGAGCACAGGACAAAGCACATTGCTCTCCGCTACTTTCTTGCTCGTGAGCTACAGCAGCGTGGACAGTTGCGACTTGCGTACGTGGCCTCTGAGGCCAACACTGCTGATGTCTTCACCAAGGCACTTGCGCCTTGTGATTATCAGCGCTGCTGCACGCAGTTGGGTCTTATGCCTGTCTTGCCTCACTTGCTTTCTACTTGACCTTGCTTGTACCTTCACCTATATATACTCTTGCTCTCGCTTGCTTGACTCTTGTATATCTCTATATGTGATCTTGTATGTGAACTGGCCTTCTGGCCCTTGAACTTGTGCTCGGAATGTGTGGTGACTTTGTGATCCACCCTGAGCTTTGCTTTGCTTTGCTTGACTGGTTTTGTGACCCCTTGTTCTCCCCCACTTTGCCTATGGGGGTGTGTCAGAACATCATAGCTTACTCATTTGTGTAGGCTATAGTGGGGTATCCCATAGGGGGTACAACCCAATTAGGGTTTCCTATTTGTACTCACTTCGTTCATAGTCATTCCATTCTCGTTCACTTCTTCTCACTTTTTGCAGTTGTTGTTGCTCAATTTGTTCACCCATGACGGTTCCTGATACCATGCTTGTCTCTTGCAGTTGCTTCTCTTTGCGCTTTCCCGCTTGTCACCCCGCTCCTTTTGGATGCGGCTTTTGTTGTGATCTCCACTGGGAGCAACCGGGAGGAGTGGTTCTGCACTCTGAGCACCTGCGGAAAGGCATACGGCAAGTTGGGCCTGCGCTAGATCATCTCACCTCGTCGAGCCAACTGCTGGGCGTGGAGAAGTTGGGAGCAGCCACTTGTCGCTCAATAGAGAAGCTGAACCTTCGTGTCATTCGCAAGGAGTTTGGGATCTGAGTCTGGATCTGAGCCTGAGGCCCATCTTTCTGGGAAGGAGCTGTGAAGCGATAGTAGTTGGAGTAGTAGTAGTCTACATCACCAGCCTGTAGATGGAATAGGCTTAACAGCAGGGATTAAATGAGTACAAAAAGCTTGTTATCCTTTGCAGGCATGAATGTCAACGGTCTGGGGGATGTAAATAAGCAACAGCGCACAAGGTACTGGATTAAACTAGCTGCTGATGTTATTGTGCTCTCGGAATGACCACCCATATTGGGACACCTTAAGACAGCCACAGATCCTGGTGGCCTCACCTACTGCTAAAGCGAGTGGGGTTGCTTTGGTCTGCTGGAGGCATGGTTTGTCAGTGTATAACACTCTCATTCACCCATCCGGCCGGCTGATAGCTGCTGACATCCACTACGACACTTTTTGTATTACCTTAGTTGCAGTTTACTTCCCGGCGGATGCTGCCGATCGAAAGTGTTTCATCCGAAGAGTGCTGGGCCCGGTGATTGACTCGCTGCAGCCTACCGCTCACTTGCTTGTGTTGGGGGATTTCAACCTGCTGGAGGACCCCCTACTTGACAGAACATCAAAGAAGGGTTCGGTTAAAGAAAATGAAGAGCTTTACCAATAGTGTGGCTCCTTCTGTGGTTCGGACGCCTTCAGGATTCTGCACCCCTACAAGAGAGAGTTTACCTTCTATTCTTGTGCCAACCAGTCAAGTTCCCGCATCGACCGGGCACTTATCTCGCAGTCGTTGTTGCCGCATCTTGAGTACACCTCGCACATCATGCCGGCTGATCCCATCTATGATCACAGTTTCGCAGTCAACGCAGCATTCAGAATGATCACACGGGTGTAGTTGGGCCCGGGTCTCTAGCGGCTTCCTGCATACATGGTTGACAGACCGGGTGTTGGGAGAGTGATCGAGGCAGGGGAACAGCAGGTGGCTTCCTGCGGTGACAACTTTGAGTTGCTGATTTCGAGGCTTAATACTAGCCTGAGAGCGTATGCGATGGAGGAGCGGCGTGGATGGGTGACCCGAGCTGTGCTCGCCTAAAGGGGTTGTTGGACGTAAGGGAGTCGCAGCTCGGAGGTTACCAGCTGGTGCGGCAGGAGCGTCTGCACATGATGGCAGGAATGAAAGAGGGGGTCTCGGGGGAGGTCGCGTCTCCATTTTTGTCTGCAAAGATTGAAGCACGGAAGGAGCGTACACAGATCTCGCAGTTGGACGTTGGAGGGCAGCAGGTTGCTGACAACAAGGGTATTTTAGGTGCGGCATCGCAGTACTACAGGAATCTGTTCGGGACAAACAGGCGGCAGACGGAGACTGCTTGGTTTCCGGCTGACGGGAAGAAGTTGTCACAAGCGCCGGTGATCGACGTGTCTGCAGACTGGACGGAGAAGGAGGTGAAGCGTGCCTTGTTCGATGGCGAAGAACAAGGCTCCTGAGAAGGACGGGCTGTTGCAGGAGCTTTTCAAGGCGCACTGGGATGTTTTAGGCAAACATTTTATGAAGTTGTGGAGGGTTTCACTGCGTCGGCATCGCTCCCGACCAACACAAAGGACGCCATCACCTCCCTGCTGCATAAGAAAGGGGGGCGGGATCAGTTAGAGAAATACCGGCCGATTACGCTGCTAAGTTTCACCTACAAGGTACTGGCGCGGGTGGTTGCAGACAAAATGAAGAGTGTGTTACATGAAGTGATATCTTCGGAGCAGTATGGCTTCTTACCAAGTCGAAGGCTGTCAGATGCGGTGGGCCTTGTCACGGATGTTATTGAGGCAGCTAAGAACAAGGATGAAGACTGGTATCTTCTGCTGGTGGGCGTTAGGAAGGCTTTCAACTTGGTCTCGAGAGACTTCTTGTTCACGGTGCTAGAAAGAATGGGTTTCCCTAGCCGGTTCATAGTCTGGTTGCGCGACCTGCACAAGGACACACGTACAAGCCTGTGAATCAACGGGTGGATGGGCGAGGTGGTGGAAGTGGTGTCGGGAGTGCGCCTAAATTGCCCGCTGGCGCCGTACCTTTTCCTGTGTGCGGTCGAGCCGTTGGCGCAAGAGGCTGCGAATTAAAAGCTGGGTCTCACGAGGGGCGACCAGCGTCTGGCGTACATGGGCTACGCGGATGGCACAACTCTGTTCCTGCAAGGGGAGGTGCAGATCGCACAGGCTGAAAAGCTGTTAGAGGACTTTGAAGCGGAGTCAGGCTTGGCTACGAACAAAGAGAAGTCGTCGATCTTACCTCTGGGGAGGAAGCTGGATAAGCAGTCCGACAGAACTGACGGCTTCAAATGGGTGAAGTCGAATGAAGCCAAGCGGCTTCTGGGGGTGTGGGTGACGCCGGCTGGGTGTTGCGCTCCCACCTAGGAAAACGTTGTTGCGTAGGTGAAGGAAAAACCAAGACAGTGGGAGGCACAACATCTCACGATAGGGGCAAGGGCGGCGGTGATCAACTCTACATTTCCCGAATAATATTTTTACAGGCGTAGGTGTCCCCGTCGCCGGTGGACGTATGGGAGAGGATCCTGAAGCTAACGCATAATTTCATGTCTGGTAACCGGGCTACCACAGACAAGGGTTTCATTCTGTGGAGCCGTGAGCTGCTATACATGGCGAGAGAGGACGAGGGTGTGGGTGTGTGTGACATGGAGATTGCGCTCACCTTCCTCACGGCTAGGCGAATTGGTCTGCTTCTTACCGAGACCAACGTGCTGAAGCGAGACATAATGCTTCAAGCAGCGGACCTACCGCTGGGGACGGACCCTTCGTAGCGCATGTGAAGCTCCTGAAATGCTGGCGCGGGGAGAGCGAGAGGTGGAGGTTGGCCTGCGGGGATTTTATGCAGTCGCTGCTTGCAGAAACGCCACCAGAGCGGACGAGGGAAGAAGCTGAGTTGGAGCGGATAGTTTTAAATCAGCATATTCTGCTAAACGGCAAGACCCCGGTAGGCGGTCATAAGGTAGCATCGAAGCTGTGGGAGGTCCGGTTGAAGGATCTGCTAGCTCCGCATGGCGCGGGCGGTCGTAGGGTCAAAGATGTGAAAACCCTGGCGAGGGAGCTGAGGGGCTCGAAAAAGGCAAAACCGGCTCTTCGGGCCTGGGAGGTAGTGCAGTAGAGCTGGAAGGAGATCAAAATCTGTGACTCCCTTGTGACGCCTAACAGGCCGCGGGACGTGCTGCTGAGGATTTACAGTCTCAACCTGCAGGTGGGGGAAAGACTCTCTTTCTTAAGTGGCAAGCCGGTCTGCTCGCACTGTGGGGAACTGGAAACGCTGGAGCATGTCAGAATATATTTGCTGTCTAGCCTGCAGTGGGGTACTCTGTAATGAGTACAACCCAATTTAGGGCAATGTACTTGTATCCCAACTCTTGCTAGTCACTTCACTTCCCTTCCAATTTCTCGACTCTCACCTAACCCACTCGAACTTACCTATCTCCTAGTGTAGGCCTAGGCTACTAAGCCTAGGCCCCACACCTAATATTTTCACATGTTATCAGAGCCCATTCTACCTTGGCCTGTGGGCCCCTATGCTTCCGCTGCAGTCCTTCTTCCTGAATTTTTTTTTAGGATTTCGGAGTTTTTCATCCCGCCGTGCGCTCGGGGCGCGCGGCGGTTTTCCCGTCCTTCGAAGCGCCCTCGGGGGGCCTGCGCGCTGCCCTCCCCGCTGCTCGTCGCGACGCCCGTGCGGGACCCGCGCGGCGTCACCTTGCTCGTCGCGACGTCCGTGCGGGACCCGCGCGGCGCCGCCCTACTTGTCGCGACGTCCGTGCGGGACCCGCGGGGCGTCGCCCCTGCTCGTCGCGACGTCCGTGCGGGACCCGCGGGGCGTCGCCCCTGCTCGTCGCGACGCCCCATGCGGGACCCGCGGGGCGCCGTCAGTTCCTGCAGCAGCAGCCGCCGCCGCCCTGCAGCAGCAGCCGCCGCCAGGCCTACAGCAGCAGCCGCCGCCAGGGTCTGCAGCAGCAGCCGCCGCCAGAGCCTGCTGCAGCAGCCGCCGCCAGGGTCTTCAGCAGCAGCCGCCGCCAGGGTCTGCAGCAGCAGCCGCCGCCAGAGCCTGCAGCAGCACCCGCCGCCAGAGCCTGCAGCAGCAGCCGCCGCCAGAGTCTACAGCAGCAGCCGCCGCCAGAGTCTGCCGCAGCAGCCGCCGCCAGACCTGCAGCAGCTGCCGCCACCGACCCAGCAGCAGCAGCCGCCGCTCTATCAGCAGCAGCAGCCGCCGCCGCTCTGCCGCAGCAGCTACCGCCGCCCAGCTGCAGGTGCCGCCCCTGGACCCCAGAAGCCGCCCCTGGACCCGGTACGCCTTGTGCTGCCCGTGCCTGTGCTGCCCGTGCCTGTGCTGCCCGTGCCTGTGCTGCCCGTGCCTGTGCTGCCTGTGCCTGTTGCTGCCCGTGCCTGTTGCTGCCCGTGCCTGTGCTGCCCGTGCCTGTGCTGCCCGTGCCTGTGCTGCCCGTGCCTGTGCTGCCCGTGCCTGTGCTGCCCGTGCCTGTTGCTGCGCGTGCCTGTGCTGCCCGTGCCTGTGCTGCCCGTGCCTGTGCTGCCCGTGCCTGTGCTGCCCGTGCCTGTGCTGCCTGTGCCTGTTGCTGCCCGTGCCTGTGCTGCCCGTGCCTGTGCTGCCCGTGCCTGTGCTGCCAGTGCCTGTTGCTGCCCGTGCCTGTGCTGCCCGTGCCTGTTGCTGCCCGTGCCTGTGCTGCCCGTGCCTGTTGCTGCCCGTGCCTGTGCTGCCCGTGCCTGTGCTGCCCGTGCCTGTGCTGCCCGTGCCTGTTGCTGCCCGTGCCTGTGCTGCCCGTGCCTGTGCTGCCCGTGCCTGTGCTGCCTGTGCCTGTTGCTGCCCGTGCCTGTGCTACCCGTGCCTGTGCTGCCCGTGCCTGTTGCTGCCCGTGCCTGTGCTGCCCGTGCCTGTTGCTGCCCGTGCCTGTGCTGCCCGTGCCTGTGCTGCCCGTGCCTGTGCTGCCCGTGCCTGTTGCTGCCCGTGTCTCGTGCTCGCGCCCCCGTGCGCTCTGCTACTGTCTGCGCCCTCGTGCGCACTGTCCCCCCCCCCCCCCCCCCCCCCCCCCCCCCGTTTGCGGGTGTGGGGGTGCTCCGTTTGTGTCGCCCCTTCCTTCTCCTCCTCCGTCGTCTCCCACTGCTGCAGCTGTCGCTGAGGGGGGTGGTTGTGTGGGAGACTGGGGTTTAGGGTTTAAGGGGGGTGCGTGGGAGTGGAGCTAGGGGTGTAGCAGCGGGTGTGTGTCAGGGGGGTGGGACTGTTTGTGGGAGGTTGAGCGGAGGCTGCCGTCTTGTAGTCCGCAGCACCTGTAGTCCCGGGCGCTGTCCTGGTAGCCCAGTGAGCCTGCTGCGCCTGTCGCCCGTGGGTCCGTTGCTCCTGCCGCTCTTCGTAGCCGCCGAGCCAGTTACTCCAGTAGTCCGGGGCGCTGTCCCGGTAGCCACTGTGCCAGCCGCTCCTGTTGCCCGTGTGTCTGCAGCTTCAGCAGTCGCCTCCCATCTCCTCTCCTCTCACTCTCCCTCCTCCTCCTCACCTGCCCGTTGTGACCACCACTAGCTTTGCTGATAATTGTGTCAGTAGATCTGCACTGTGGATGCCCGATTGATCCTGGAGAGGGTTACAGGCGCATTCGCCGGGGGGGTTATGGGCGCACTGACCCGCTACTGAAACAAGCCCTTTTATCCCAATGGTCTAGTGGTTGGGATTCTGACATGGTATCAGAGCGGTCTCGGGTTCGATTCCCGGTGTATGCACATGTAGGCCGTTGCCGCTGTGCTTAGTCCTGGGCCTCCCAGTGTGGGGGGGTGTCAGTAGATCTGCACTGTGGATGCCCGATTGATCCTGGAGAGGGTTACAGGCGCATTCGCCGGGGGGGTTATGGGCGCACTGACCCGCTACTGAAACAAGCCCTTTTATCCCAATGGTCTAGTGGTTGGGATTCTGACAAATTGTGCACTTTAACTATTGCTTCTTGAACTTGTGCTCAGAATGTGTGGTGACATTGTGATCCACCCTGAGCTTGTACTGCTTTGCCTGCTCTGCTGATTTCACCCCACTTTGGCTATGGGGGTGTGTCATAATATATTTGCTGTCTAGCCTGCAGTGGGGTACTCTGTAATGAGTACAACCCAATTTAGGGCAATGTACTTGTATCCCAACTCTTGCTAGTCACTTCACTTCCCTTCCAATTTCTCGACTCTCACCTAACCCACTCGAACTTACCTATCTCCTAGTGTGGGCCTAGGCTACTAAGCCTAGGCCCCACACCTAATATTTTCACAGAGCATTGTCTTTTCACTTGCCCGCGCATACAATTGGTGGTGGTGGCAGTCAGGCGTGCTATGCCCATACTGAACCCGTCGAGGCAAGTGGCCAATCTGGGGGACTTGCTGTTCGGGGAAGCAGCAACCACTTCAGCTTTCCCGAAGGCACCCCTTTCCGCCATTGCGGTGCACCAGATATGGGCGGAGAGATGGGAATGTGTGTTTCGGGGGAGGAGATTCAGGGCTCGGTGCGTTCTTAGGCGCATTGAGGCTGCCTTTCGGCTGCATGTGAAAATGTGCACTCGAGCAATTGGGAGGAAGTTGGACACGAGCGAAGGTTCGAAGCGACAAAAATGACGTATGTGTTGGCAGAGCAGGAGGCAGCCATTCTTGGCCGTATTATGTGTTCGACAGCAAAAAAAAGGAAGTGGACTCGGATTTTTGGCGCGCTTTGGGATCTTGCGAGGGGGGCTCTGCATCCGCCTTAGAAGCTGACCCTGAGGCTGTTGTCACGTAGCGGTCTCTCACGCTCAGTTACGACCAGCTTATGTTTATATGCACTTGTCTCGTCGGTGTATAATGGACATATTCACATGAAAAAAGGAACCACGTTACATTTCCGAGCCTCTGGCACTGCTGCGGAAGAAAACAGTTGTTTGTAGTCAGCCTTTATAAAGATACCAAGCAAACGAACCATCATCTTTAGGTAACATGTGACTGAACTCCATTCCACTATGCACACATTTGAAGGAAGTTTCAGTGTTGAACACCGAATCCCTGATTGACTGGTTTTTATCCTTGCTAATAGCAGACCTCTTGTCGGAGCACGAACAGATAACATGTCTTGTTAATCGAACTTCATTACACATACATCTTCTTCCTCTCTTCCTTACCCCCTTCCAAAACCGTCAGCTTTCCTCTCCGTCCGTTGCTGCCAGTCACACCCCCTGTTTCCACACCCCCTTCTATTTCAGTCCTCACCACCCCTAAACCCATTTTCCTTTCTTCCCTCCAGAGGCTAGCTCCGTAGCACCACCTTTCTCCCTTCTTTTCCCTTGTATCGCGCAGCGGGCCACCATGAGGTCAGTGAGCTACACGAAAAGTCCCACTGGCAAATAGAAGTCTGCATCGGTTGTCTCCAGAGTCGCTTTCTCAAATAGTTAGCTTCACGGAGTTCGCCCTAATTTACAATTTATGTAGTTTCATCCGTACCGCCAACAAGCATATCATTCTTTGTTGCACTGTGCCGTTTGCATTACCGCCACCCTTCTGCGCGCGACATTAATCCGCAAAGCAACATGCTGCGCGAGGCGATATCGAACCACTTGCTTTTCTCTCAACTCAGTGTTCTTACACTGTTCCCTTCGTATTACCCTCGTCCCCAACCTTGCGCGCCGCAGTAAGCTGCAGAGCGACGTGCTGCGCGAGGCGATCACGAACCTGCTGGCGGCGTCGCGCGAGAAGAACCGCAAGTTCTCGGAGACGATCGAGCTGCAAATCGGGCTCAAGAACTACGACCCCCAGAAGGACAAGCGTTTCAGCGGCTCCGTCAAGCTGCCGCACGTGCCGCGCCCCAAGTACCGCGTGTGCATGCTCGGAGATGCCCAGCACGTCGAGGAGGTGCGTCGCTTGATTACGTAAGAAGGCGATCCAAGCGTCGGGTGTGCATGCTCGGAGATACGCAGCAGGTGTTTAGGTATGTTTTCCCGGTCGTCGGAGTGTGTTATCAGACGTAGCTTAGTAAGGTGTCGCTTCAAGTAACGCGTGTCCATGCTGGGAGGCACCCGGCACGTCGACGAGGTGGGTCTGCCTTGTCTTTTAGAAGGTCACATCGAGACGTAGTTTTGCTTCAATAGGCCCCTCAAGTGCTGCGTGAGCAGGCTGTGAAATTTCGGCTCTCACGAACCGCTGTCGCAGCGTATTAAAGGAATGGGTCGTTCGCAGCTGCGATGTGTGCATTTGGGCAAGCTGGCGACGAATTTGACAGCGTTTAGGCCCTTATTTGTTGCTGTAAGACCGTAATTCTCCATTTGGTCCTTTCCTTTCCAACAGGCGGAGAAGATCAGTCTGGACTGCATGGGCGTGGAGGCGCTGAAGAAGATGAACAAGAACAAGAAGCTCGTCAAGAAGCTCGCGAAGAAGTACCACGCGTTCCTGGCGTCCGAGGCCATCATCAAGCAGATCCCCAGGCTGCTCGGCCCCGGTCTGAACAAGGCCGGCAAGTTCCCCACGCTCGTTACCCACCACGAGCCGCTCGAGAGCAAGGTGAGGTTTTTGTACACGGTATAAGGCTAGGGTTTGTACTCGTAAAGAAGCTCCACTCGGTAAGAGCTACATTTCCCTAGGCTGTTTGACGCTGGGCTCAACAAGGCCGCTCTCCACATGTTCGTGTCTTGATTTTTAGTGTTTGAATCTCGCAATTCTCTTGCTGCTGGCCCTTGCGCTGTCGGCAGTTGTCGTAAGCAAAGTTCCAGCTGTCGACAAATCAAGTTACAGCTCAAGAAGGCGACGACGTGTATGGCCGTGGCTGTGCGGTCATCACTTCTCCTCTTCCCCTCCCCCCTCTGCTCCCTTTCCCCTTCCTTTTTGTTCCCCTCACTCCCTTCCCTTACCCTCCCCTGGCAGTTGTTGGAGGCGAAGTCGACGATCAAGTTTCAGCTGAAGAAGGTGCTGTGCATGGGCATCGCGGTGGGCAACTGCGACATGGAGGAGAAGCAGATCTTCCAGAACGTGCAGCTCTCCGTCAACTTCCTCGTCTCGCTGCTCAAGAAGAACTGGCAGAACGTACGTACGCGATAGTATCTCTGTGCCCCGTGGGTTCGTTACAAGGTATAGTTTCGTTGAGATCTTCCAGAACGTGCAGCTCTCCGTCAACTTCCTCGTCTCGCTGCTCAAGAAGAACTGGCAAATTGTACCTATCTTTCGGCTAAACCTTCTTGGCTTTTTCCTGACTCAGGCGCTCTCCGTGTCCACGTTTTTGGGTTGTCTCCTCCCCGTCTCACTCCTTCCCTCCCCTCCGTCTCTCTCCATTTCTTCTTCCCTTGCGCGCTCCCACAGGTCAAGTCGCTGTACATCAAGAGCACCATGGGCAAGCCCCTCCGCATCTACTAAGCGCATCGATCGCCTCTTAATTGCTTCCTAGTCTGCTGCCCGTTTTGTGTTGCTGATGTGGCTATTGTAGTCCTTGTCCGGCCGATTTTGGCCCTTATCTGGTAATGCACGAACTCTGGGCGCAATCCGTGTTCTCATTGGCAGCCAAGCTGGTAACCCTACTCTGTAGGGCAAGCCATGCGCGGCTGTTTGAGTTACTAAAGCAGCTCGCTTTAGTGAACATCACCAAGGCAATAACGGGTACAGGGGTTTGGCGCATTCAAGGGTTCAGGGGTATGAGGAGGGAAGAGAAGGGGAATGGGTTGGTGGGGGAATGAGGGAATGTGAATGGAACTTCGGGGGTTCTCTCCCCTGTTCTATCCACACTCCCTCATCCCCCTTCCACTTCCCTCCCTTTCTCTTATCCTTTTCCTTTTCTCCCTTTCCCCTGTGATGACCGACTTTGCACCTCGGGATTGTTGTTGGGAGCCCACTAGTTTCGTGACCACCTTGTCCTTGAGTCTGCCTTTACCCTTGTTCCTTTCCCCCGCCTTCCTCCTCCCTCCTCCGCCACTCTCCTTCCTTGCGCCCTCCTTCCTCTCTTCCCTTCCGCCTTTCTTCGATCCCCCTTCCTCCTCGCCTTTTGTGCTTCTTTCCCTCATCCCTCTTCCATTCCTTTTCTCCACAATCTCAATCTGCCTATCCCCGCCGCTCCTTTGGGTTTCATCCTCGTAGCTTTCCATGCATAAGCATCCTCGTTTTAAGAGTATCGATGGAGTATGTACAGCATGTGGTTGTCATTGGTGTACATTCGTGTCTTTGTGTGTATCTCACTCTCTGTGTGTGCCCTGTGCATTTATCTGATGTGTGTCACCATACCTTAGTCTGTTATTTGTTTATCTTAATATTTGTCTGCTGTGTTACTGTTTGTGCCGTATGTTTGACCACCGAATGTGATGTTTGTTTGTACATATTCTGATGCATACGCCTGAATCTGGTACCTGTGTTAGCAATCATGATAATTTTTGAAAGTGGAATGAAATGTAACACTTTCCAAAATTTTGTATTGTGAAAAGGGGTACGTGGCCAATACAGCAAAGGTAGCGCCGGAGCGCTACTCACCCTCTTTTGCCTATAAAAGAGGGACGTGGGGACATTGTCCCTACCCACGTTTTCATTTTCAAAATTGTAGTTCTTCTCGTCCACATTGGCGACTCAGCCGTTTCCGCGCTTCACTGCCTCGTCAATGCTCCTTAACGACATCCTTAAGCGCAACCTCGCAACGATGGCTTCGGTCAACCCGGCACTTAACCGCGACAATTCGAATAATTCTAGCCCCGGTAACGCGGCGGAAACCTCGACTCCGGTCGGGATAACAGATTGTCGCGGCGGAAAACGTCCCGCCGAGGAAATTTCAAGCGAGGGACCCTCGGCGGTCGACCTCCTGCTCGGAGGCACCCTTCGGACCCCCCCTGAGCAACGCGCGACTGTTGTACAATCGCGCGTGGCTGCTACTGAAGAGCGCGTGCCTGGCAGGCACGCGCGTGCTGCGCAGAAGACGACGACCGCCGCTGACGCGGGGGTCGTCTTGACTGGCGCTGACGCGGGTCCATCCGGGCCCACGACCCAGAAACACCAGCGCGCGGCACACTCCGCTGACGTCACCCCGGTCGACGCCGCCCCCACCCCTTTGACCGCGCAGCAACTGCAGGCGCTGCTCTCGTTATTGCAGCAGCACGCACCGTCGACTGCAGCTACATCAGCTGAAGAAATTTCTGCGTCAGCTAAGATCGAAAAGCAGAAGGAACCTGTCGCGGCTCCCCGCTCCACCAAAATCGCTCGCACCAACAACGCTGCTCCTGCTCCCGCCCCAGCTCCGGCACCAACCCAAGCCCGTATCCCCGACGACAGCGACGACTCAGAAAATGAATACGGTGAGGCCCCCGACAACCTTGCGCGTCGTCGCATTCTCGCACCCGCACCTCCCCTTCCCCCCCTCAACCCTTCACCCGCAGCTACTACCTTCATGCGGAAGGGAGTGCGTGACCAGGCGGAGATGTTCTCTGCAATTCAAGCTCACCTGAGGCACGTCGAGTTCAAGCTCCAAAACGGCGACTTCGAGGGCGCGCTCTCCAACGTGGAGCAAATCGACGCGTTGATCAACAAACGCTTCGAGGTGCTCTTGGTGGCGGATGAGGTCGGTTTCGAAGCGGCGGATCGGTTCCAGGTGTACCAAGCCAAGAGCGTGCTCACATCCCGCTCGTACAAGCTCGCGGTAGCCGACGTGGCGGCCCTCAAGCGTGCACGTACCGGCTTCGCCCGCGGAGGCCGCCTTCCCCCTCGAGACGGTGAACCAGAAAACAAAGGCATGCCACCCGCGGGCTGCCACGAGCCCCGCTTCAAGGGGGTGTGTTTCCGTTGCGGCCAGCCCGGCCATATGGCAAATAATTGCCCTATGGGAGGGCGTGGCGCACAAGGTCCCGCACCCGTGGTGTGAGAGGACCCATGGGGCGGCGCCCCTTGCCACTATGCCGGGGGGCGTAGGTGGATGCACCGGTGGTGCGTAGGCTGGTTAGGAGCCTTGGGGAGTAGGATAGGCCATGGGGGCCAGGGCAAGATGGCAGTCGTAGGGGCTGGTTATGGTGTAGGCTTGGCTTGTATGCCTTTGTGTGGATTAATAAAAGATTGTTGTTATTGAAAAAAAAAAAAAAAAAAAGAACAATGGAGCGAGAGAAAGGGAGCCAACACAAAACGAGAAGACAAATGGCACAACAAATAAAACATCAGCCCCCTCTTGAGGAAGGCAGCCACGGAGGAGGAATTGGCCAGGAGTGCAAGACAAAGCAAGGACCGAGAGAAGCACAAAGAAGGAGAGAGAGAGAGAGAGAGAGAGAGAGAGAGAGAGAGAGAGAGAGAGAGAGAGAGAGAGAGAGAGAGAGAGAGAGAGAGAGAGAGAGAAAGAGAGCAAGAGAGAGAGGAAGAGAGAGAAACACGGAATGAGGATGAGGAGAAGGAGAGAGAGTAAGAGAGAGAGAGAGAGAGAGAGAGAGAGAGAGAGAGAGAGAGAGAGAGAGAGAGAGAGAGAGGGAGAGAGAGAGAGAGAGAGCAAGAGAGAGAGAGAGAGAGAGAGAGAGAGAGAGAGAGCAAGAGAGAGAGAGAAAGAGAGAGAGAGAGAGAGAGAGAGAGAGAGAGTGTGTGTGTGAGAGAGAGAGAGAGAGAGAGAGAGAGAGAGAGAGAGAGAGAGAGAGAGAGAGAGAGAGAGAGAGAGAGCGAGGGAGAGGGAGGGAGAGCGAGAGAGAGAGAGAGAGAGAGAGAGAGAGAGAGAGAGAGAGAGAGAGAGAGAGAGAGAGAGAGAGAAAGAGAGAGAACGAGGGAGGGCGAGAGAGATAGAGAGAGAGCGGGAGAGAGTGAGAGAGAGAGAGAGAGAGCAAGAGAGAGAGAGAGAGAGAGAGAGAGAGAGAGAGAGAGAGAGAGAGAGAGAGGGAGACGGAGGGAGAGAGAGAGAGCGAGAGAGGGAGAGAGAGAGAGAGAGAGAGAGAGAGAGAGAGAGAGAGAGAGAGAGAGAGAGAGAGAGAGAGAGAGAGAGAGGAACTATCACGACGACATCGTGATGAACAAGGTCGTGGGACCAAGTGACGCAAATGCGCCGATCTCGTTGTAAGGCAATGTAAAAAAAAAAAAAAAAAAAACCTTGCAAGGGTATTAAAGCTGATGACTGCGCAAGCAAAGTAAAAAAAAAAAAAAAAAGAACCCGGGAGTGCGGGGAGGCACGACGGCGGTAGAAGACAAGCGACATAGTTTGCCCGACGAAGTGTCCCGTATTATCTCGCGTCTAATCGACCTTGGCCCTGGTCCCCCCCCCCCACACAACCTCGGTTGCCCATTAATTGCAGAAGTGGAAGGCGAGTGCCGGAGTGCTCATTGGGACCCATACGAGCACGCAATAACGGACAACATGGTGTCCATCATGCGAATGCGATTGCGCAACAGCCTCCATTGTTGGCTATCATGGTGCGACAGCAGTGTTATCCTTTCCATCATTGCCAAAGGGTACTGGCTACCATGGAAGGGCGCAGAGCCTCTCCCCTTCGAAGCGCCCAATCACGCAGGCGTTCAAGCACACATGGCATTCACCCAAGACACGGTTAGCGACCTCATCGCGTCAGGCGCCGCGATGCATGTCTCGTCGAAAGCCGCACTGACGTGCATCAGCCCGCTCAATGTTGTGGAGCAACGAGGCAAATGCCGGCTCATCCTTGACCTGCGGAAGGTCAACGCTCACCTCCAAGTTCCCAAGTTCAAGTACGAAGGCTTGAGTTGGGTCGCGGAAATCATTCGCCCACACGACTGGATGTTCACAATCGATCTCAAGTCAGGCTACCACCACGTCGAAATCCACCCATCATGCTGGAAGTTTTTGGGCTTTCAATTGGGCGGAAAATTCTATTGCTTCACATCCTTACCTTTCGGCCTGGCAACAGCCCCGTTCATCTTCACCCAGCTTATTTAGCAACTAGCCAAGCGATGGCGCGCGCGCGGAGTGCGCGTAATACCATACGTGGACGATCTACTATTCCTCTGCAACTCCGAGGCGCAAGCCTGTTTGACGTGCGTCGAAGTTCTCCACGACTTGAAGGCGGCAGGATTCGTGATAAATTCTAAGAAAGCACACCTGCATCCCGCACACCACTTGCGCTTTTTGGGGATGGAGCTTGACACGGAACGAGGGATGTTCCTGGTCGGAAAGGATCGGCGCAAACAACTACTGCAGGAGCTCCACCTACTTATACAAAAAGGGTAATCGTGTCGTCAAGTGCCGATTCGCAAGATAGCCCGGATCACTGGATTTCTCAGCTCCATGTCGCTCGCGCTGGGCACGACGGCGCGGGCCTTCAGCCATGAGCTGCTCCACTTGATCGACTCCGCATGGTCATGGAACTCAAAGGTTTTATTGTCACCAGGAGCGACCGAGGAGCTGCTGTTTTGGACAATGCACTTAGATCGTTTCAATGGCGCCCCAT